GTTATAAAAGGGAAAGGTGTTAGGCGCCCTCCACATTCGTTATACTCAACGGAAATCTCTTATAATTTAGGATTAAAGTGTTTGCTTTAGGGAAATTTTCTTATTCTAATTGCTTTACTATTTATAGAACAATGTGTTGGTGGAAAAATGGTTTCTAGTTTGGGATCGGAGGTGGATGAGATCTATTTTTATTTAAGAACATGAGATAGTTGCCGATCAATTTTTTGTTATTCAGAGATCATCACTCCCTTTAGATAAAGATAGGTGATGATAGCATCATGCTAAGGATATGGTGTTCTCGGTAGCCTCGACATATTCTACCTCTTTGGATTGAAATCTCCTAACTACTCTCTAGCTTCGTAGAGTTCTTATTTTTTCAACGGTTTTTTTTAGGGTGTTGGGATTTTGTCAGCTTGTATGTTTTTTGTGTTTATTTTTTTCTCCTGATTATAACTTTATTGTTATATTGATTTGTTAGTTTATTGAATATATTTTCTGGACACATTTAAGTAATTAAAAGTTTTTTAGATTAGTTGAATAAATAATATATTTAGTTATTATTTTATACCAAATACATCAATTATTCAATAAATTTATAAAAAAAATTATTATTTATAAATGTATTCGGATGGTGTATCTCTCTCGATGTCATGCCTGTTTTTCCCTTCCTTTTGAGACTGATTTTATCTTTTGCTTTATCTTTTATGAGGTTAAGAGATTACAACAAAAGAAATTTAAAAAATAGAGTCATTAAAACATACAACAACAAATTGAAAAGAAAAAAAATTAAGATAAAACCGAGGGAAATTTTGGTTACCTTCTCGTACATGATATAAAACCAAAATACTAGTTCCAAGAATTTTACAAGAAAGTATTGAGCCAATAAGGTGAATTAAGAAAATTACTGACAAGGACAACAATAACATATTGAGATTATTTTCAAACATGACAATTACAATCTGCATGATGTCTTTCTAGAGTAGGAAAGATGTCCATAATGCCCAACATGAGCCAGTACCTAGGTAGATTGCTAAAAATTGCTTCTGTTTTTGTCAGAATTAAACTTGTTGACAAATTGAATAAGGTTTAAGATTTGACTGCTTGCGAATCATCTTTCTTTGGAATAGGAATATGACCTTGCTCTTGCAGACTCTTAACGGTTTCATATAAACATTGACTCACTGGAGTGAATTCCAACCCTAAATCTTTCAGTTTTTTGTTTGAGAAGATATGTGGTTTCACTCGAGGATTCTTTTCATCTGAACACCTGCACATGTAAAACATTAACTCTTTGTCAACTTTGAACCTATGACCAAAGGTGCAAGTTATGACCTTGAAGAAATTGAATTCACTCCGGTCGACATTATCATGCATTCAGAACATCGGTAACTGTTCGATCTTGATCTGACGGTTCAAAGAAAACATATTTTTACTTCTTATTTTATTATAAAAATATTAAATTTAAATTTGAATCGTATAATCTTGACCAACGGTTTTCAATGCTCCGAACGTTTGAACATGTGAATGTGTGATATCCCCGACTGCAGGGAATCTTCACTAAGATAAATTTTATTGATATTAATTATTTAGCATATGCCCATATTAACGGAAGAGGTAGATAATATATTGATTAATGTGATAAGGACACTAAGGCTGTGTTTGTTTTTGAGTGAAATGAAGAAGAGAGAAGTCGGTGAGAAATACCAAACTTCTCTTGTTTGGTTTGGAAAGAAGAAGAGAGAGTGATAAATATAATGTTGGTCCCATGGATTTTTCATTTCTTCTCTAAACTGAAGAAAGAAGGAAGAGATGAGTTATTTCCAGTACTACCCTTATCCTTTTAATGAATGGTGGGTGTTAGTGTACTTCATGTTGATTGCTCACAATATCCCAAAACTTCATATTTTCATAAGTTTTATGTGTTTTTTTATAAACTTTGGATTTTATTTACAATTCAACTTTAAAAATAAATAAAAAACTAATTAGTTAATAATTTTACCATACAGATTTTTAGTTATATTTAAGTTAAAAGAATTAATTTAATTTAATTTAAATCAAAAGAATTAATTCAATTTGATTTAGAAAGTTATTTATCAGAAGGACATAATAATATTTTTGAAAATATATAATACTTCTTTCTTTTCTATTTCTTCTCTTAAACCAATCAATACCTTAAATCTACTTTATTTCTCACATTTCTCTCTCTTCTTACACTCTCTTATCTATTTCTCTCTTCACAACATCTCTTCTAAACCAAATACCCAAATACACCCTAAGGTGGTAAGGAGTCATATGCTCCACTTATTTCTACTTTATAAAATAATACCAATCATTTTAATTTCACTTTAAATACTTGATTTAGGTGGTGGAAATGGAACATAGATAACATAAGCAAGTCAAAGTTGGTATACCTAATATGTCACCTTTCAATTCCAATATTTTTCAACATTTATAAATTTTTATTCTATATTAACTCTTTTTATATTGAGTAGTCTAGTCAATAAGATTTTATCTTTTCTAAAAGATGAATAAATAAAATGTGACAAATATAAATATGCGTTATTATATCTGATGGCTTTGTATAGTTAATAACAAATATAACTTATCTGATATTAATTGGATAAGATTTTATCTTTTCTAAAAATGAATAAATAAAATATCGCAAATACAAATATGCGCTACTGCATCTATGTCTCTACATAACTAATAAGAAATATGACTTAACTCATATTAATTAATAATGAAAATTATAATAGGAAGAATAATTGAAGAGTGACTTACTTGGTAGGAATTGGGTATTCAGGAAAATACTTGGCCAGAATTTCAACAAGCTCTCCACGGTGCAATGAGCTTTCAGCACATAAGTATCTACCAGAAGCAGAAGGCTTTTCATAAACAAGTATGTGTGCTAATGCCACATCCCTAACATGAACATAAGCTTGTGTTGCATTTGCATATGTTTTTGCAGAGCCGGTTAAGTACTTTAGTATGTGAATTGTGCTTGCATTGATTGTGGGTTGTAGTAATGGTCCAAGAACCAAAACTGGATTCACTACAACCAAATCTACTTCTTTCTCTTTTGCTATATCCCATGCTGCTTGTTCTGCCACTGCTTTCCCATAGCAATACCAATTCTATAACATTCCAATTTCAAATGAGTTGCATTTATCATGGGATATGAGTTCTAATCTATAAAGCACATACTACTAATACCGTGACACGGCGAAAATAATAATAATTTGAAAAGAAAAAAAATTAAAAATAAACACAAGTGTCGGTGTAGGTGTTAGCGTCCGACACAGACACAAACACGTTATTTTTCAGAAGTGTCGATAGTATGCAAATTCTAATTTAGCATTATGAGTGACGGAATATTGACCTTGGTGTTCTTGCAAAAGTCCAAATCACTCCAGCAAGACTCATCAACTTCAACATCAACACTTCTTTTTGGGTCCATATAGACAGCACCAATTGAGGAAGTGAAAACCACGCGCCTCACATTTGCTTCTGCTGCAGCTATAATAACATTCTTTGCTCCATTTACTGCAGGCTCCACCATCTCTTCCTGTAACGCATTATCCAAATAAGAAATTCAATAATCATTTTCATGTAAAATTAAATTAGTTGTATATTTGAAATTTTATATTACTGAGTAATGCATTAAAAAATATAATAATGGAAGATTAATTAGAAAGTTGGTGGATGTGAAATCTCTATGCCATGTCGTATAAAAAGTTCGGAAGAACGTTTGATTGTGGAATATAAGACCCACCAACCAACAGTTCAAATAATCACATCGCATGACATGATTCTGTCAATATTTATTTTAAAACATTTTCTTACTAATATATATGAAACTCATAATAGTTTATTAGAATAATATTTAATTGGTTTTATTTCTGGTTGGATCCTATGATTGAGATGATTGATTCTTTAAATAAAATAAAATAAAATAAAATAAGGAAGAAAATAGAGAGAATGAAAACTGACGGGGTTATCAGTAACGGGAGAAGCAGTATGAAAAACACCGTGACAACCGTTAACGACGGCTTTAACGGAGTTAAGATCCAGCAGATCAAGTTTATGCAGAGTTAGCCTTTCCTTGGCTCCTTCCAACTCCATCAAGTGTCCATTTTTCGCATCATCTAAAATCAAATCAAATTTCATGCATGTTAACGTGAAAATATAACATAAATCAATTCGCATAGTAATATAATTAATTGGCAGACATGCCTGGGTTTCGCAAGGTTCCTCTGACGGTGTAGCCTTTTTGGAGGAGGAGTTTAACCATCCATGAAGCGATGAATCCGCCGGCGCCGGTGACGCATATGGTTTGGCCGGAAAGCGGTGAAGGTTCGGCAGAAGGCATATTCGTGATTGGAAAGGGACAAAGGAAGGTGAATGAGTGAGTGGGATAGAAGGTGATGGGAAAGTTGTTGTGATGACTAGTGAGTGGCGTGGGGATGAATAAGTGGAAATATGAGACACTGAATTGCAATAACAAGCTTTTTATAACAAATATCGATTCTCACCTACCCCGCTACAATAATATTTTAATTTAACATATATTGAGATTTACTTTATCCGTGAATCGTGACTATTAAATATTTATTGAGATTTAATTTTTATTTTATTATTTATAAAATAATATTTATGAGTGAAAAATTATTTATATAATAATATTTATGAGTAGTTGTGATGCATTAACTGTGTCAAAAAATTTACAATGACAATGCATAATAATTAATCTCATTTAAAAAAATACAACTAATTTTTTAAATTTTTATATTATTTTACTTTATTTTTACATACATAGATCAAGTTACAAAAACTTTAAAGTAATTAAATTTATTTTTTAATGATAAAATTTGATTCAACTCAAAATTGAAATGCTAATATTGTTTAAAAACATTAGATTTTTCTTTTTACATTTCGTAAACATTCGAAACAGCGAAATGAGAAAATTTTATCAATATAAATAGACAATAACACACTTAGCTTAATTATAATAAAAATTTATTGGACAAGCTAATTATCTAACATCTCTACTCAAACTCATGATGCATGAAGCATTGGGAGTTTGTTAATCAAGAAACAAAAATATTTGATAAAATGAGATTTTGTGAACAAATCAACAATCTATAGTGTGATGTTGAAAGTGATGACGAATAAGATGACAATCAATTTTAATGTAATAGACTTACGATCAGTATGATCACCAGTCCAATCATCATCAGAGTAAACACGTAATTCTAAGGAAGAGGTTGACAGAAACAAAAGACTTTGAAAATACATTCTTCGGAGATAACGATGAATACAAAGTACAATTGTCCAATATAATAGCAAGATACACCAAACTTTCAACTAAAATATGATACAAGGTGAGATCTGGTAGAACACTACTAAAAAAATTAAATTTAGAAAGGGAAGATTTCCGTCACTAATGTGATAACATTCCATCACAAACTAATTTAGTGCCAGAATTAGTGACAAATCAAAATCCATGTCGAATTTCAATGTTACAAAATATTAGTGAAAGAATTTTCATTCTATCACAAATAGATACAAAATAAATCCATCACTAATTCAATTATTTCATCACTAAAATCCAAACAAAAAATATTTTCATCATTTAAGTTTCCGTCACTATTACTTGAAGGAATAAGATTCCCTCTCAAATTTTGAGGGACTTTTTCCATCACAAATCTTAGACATAATCAATTTCCCTGCAAAATTATAAAATATTATTTTTAGTAATTTTGTGGCTAATCGATTTCCATATAACTAAATTAAAGATGATATTAATATTGTAAATTTTCTGTTTATTTATATTCATATTAATAGTGAAAATGCATTCCAGCTTAATTACAATTCCATAAAATGTGAACAACTAAAAATTAACAAGAAACAACAATAAAAATCATCTTTAAGAAACTAAAAGATTCAATATTGTAATTAATACTCATTCAAAATACTCAATTCAGCGTACTAGAATTTTATGTACCGTCACATTCTAGCATGCTCAAGCTAGTTTAGTATTTCTTACAGCCTCTTTTATGAAAGTTCTATAGCAAAAACTTAATATAGCATTGGAACACATTCCTTTCTCTTTTTTTCTCCTGTGGTCTTCTTATCTTCTAGGAGTGACACAGTATTACAACATATATTGCTCTATATCTGATGCTAACCAAAAGCAAGATTACCACCATTGTTGTTGTCTGCAAACCAAATTATTTTGTCCCCTCTCTGATACTCTCTTCGACTGCAGCAAACAACACGAGAACCAAAATGAAAATCAAACTACGCATATCAATGAGATTGCTCTGCTTCTTAATAACTACTTCTTAACATCATTATCTATGCCTCTTGTTGTGAATTCAATGCCAATAACTAAGTATAGAATATAGGAAGAATAAAGAACAAGGAAGAAGAAGAACACAAGAATTGGTTATAACTGCTATTCTTTACTTTCTCTTTGAAAACAAGATTACAAGTTTACAAGGATAACAAATAACCCTCTCACCCTAATTAGGATTTGCTGTGTTGCAATGATGAGAGACTAGTATGCTATTTATAATAAAATCTAACATACTAACTAATGGGCTTTTTCCACAAGGCCCATTATACAAGCTAACTTAACAAACAAGCTAACTTAACAAATTAGGGTTTAAACACTAAAACCTAATTCGACAAGAATCCTTCGACAAATACATGCTGGACCCTTCTTCGACTACAGCATGTACTTCGACCAACTAGAGTTCGATCCAAAATCCCACAAATCTCCACCTTGGACCTAACTCTACAGCATCAAGAGACACTAACTAGCTTTCTTCATGCAGCTTTATCAACTGCATACAGTGGAAAAACTTGCAACTTGGCAATGTTTTGGTGATCATATCAGCAGCATTGTGATCTGTCGAGACCTTCAGCACTTGGACTTCTCCACGCTCGATTACCCCTCTGACGAAATGCAGCCTCACATCTATGTGCTTGGTTCGCTCATGATAGGCTGAGTTCTTCGACAGGTGTATTGCACTTTGACTATCACATTTAACAGTGATACCTTGACCTTGAAGTTTCAGCTCCTTTGCAAAACCTTCAAGCCACAATGCTTCTTTCACAGCTTCAGTTAGGGCAATATATTCTGCTTCAGTAGTTGATAAGGCAACAACCTTCTGAAGAGTTGCTTTCCAACTAATTGCTGTACCAAACATAGTGAAAACATATCCAGAAATAGATTTTCTGGAATCCATACAACCTGCATAATCGGAGTCAACATAGCCTTCGACTGCTGCTTTACTATCTTCACCCAAGGCTCCACCATAAATTAAGACTCTGTTCAGAGACCCATTTATGTACCTTAAAATCCACTTTAACGCTTGCCAGTGAGCCTTTCCAGGATTCGCCATGTACCTGCTTACAAGACTTACTGCATATGCTATATCGGGTCTAGTACAGACCATAGCATACATCAAAGAACCAACTATATTAGCATATGGGATGCTATTCATATAGGTTCTTTCGACATCAGTACTGGGACATTGATCAATACTCAGCTTGAATTGAGGGTTTGTTGGAGTCACAACAGGCTTCGAGTTCGACATACCAAACTTGTCAAGAATCTTTCGTAGGTATGCCTCTTGAGATAAGCATAATTTCGACTGCTTTCTATCTCTTCGAATGTCAATTCCAAGAATCCTAGATGCAGCTCCCAGATCCTTCATGTCGAACTCCTTATTGAGTTCAGCCTTCACCCTCATTACATCTTCGACATTGTTGCTTGCTATCAGAATATCATCAACATAAAGCAACAAAATAACAAATGAATTTTCAGGTCGAAATCTGGAGTAAACACAATGGTCGAACTGACTTCTAATGAAACCTATGTGTTCCATGAACTTGTCGAATCTCTTATTCCACTGTCGAGGAGATTGTTTAAGTCCATATAAAGATTTCTTCAGTTTGCACACATAATCTTCTTTCCCCTTTTCGACATACCCTTCAGGTTGCCTCATCAGGATTGTTTCATCTAAGTCACCATACAAGAACGCAGTCTTCACATCCATTTGTTCCAGTTCAAGGTCGAACTGAGCCACCATGGCAAGCAACATTCGGATGGATCTGTGCTTCACAACAGGGGAAAATACATCATTGAAGTCGACACCTTCTTTCTGAGTGAAACCCCTTGCGACTAATCTTGCCTTGTACCTCTTCGACATTACTCCTTCAATTCCTTCCTTAACTTTGAAAATCCACTTACAGCTGACTAACCTTGCCCCAACAGGTTTCTCGATTAGTTCCCAAGTGTGATTATCATGAAGAGATTTCATCTCATCATGCATGGCCTTTAGCCATTCAGTCTTCATTCGACTCCTTATAGCTTCCTTATAATCTCTAGGTTCTTCGTCTAGAACTTCACTTGCAGAGATTAAGGCATAAGCTACAAGATCTGCATATCCAAGTCTCTGAGGTGGTTTTATGACTCTTCTTTGCCTATCTCTCGACAATAGGTAGTCATCAACAGTTTCCTCAACATCATCAGAATCTTCTGTTTCTTCTTCGACTTCATCTGGGATACGCATTTCAGCATCAACATGCTCCACCTCAACAGGAATCTCTACCTGTTCCAGCTCTTCGTCAACATCATCAGTTTTCTTGAAAGCCATTTCAGTTTCATTGAAAACTACATCTCGACTGGTGATACACCTCCTGTGACCTGGCTCTAGGCACCATAGCTTATAAGCTTTCACTCCTTCAGGGTATCCCATAAACATGCATTTCAGAGCTCTAGGTTCGACCTTGTCTTGCCTAATGTGAGCATAGGCTACACAGCCAAATACTCTTAGTTTGTCGAGATCTGGTGGATGTCCCGACCAAACTTCTTCAGGTGTCTTCATATCTAACGCTGTCGAAGGACATCTGTTTATCAGATATGCTGCTGTCGAAACAGCCTCAGCCCAAAACACCTTCTTTAATCCCGCACTAGTCAACATGCATCTAACTCTCTCCAAAATAGTTCGATTAAACCTTTCAGCCAAACCATTTTGTTGAGGAGTACCTGCGGTAGTTCTGTGCCTTGCAATACCAGAGGCAACACAAAAACTGTCGAACGCCTCATTGCAAAACTCAAGGCCATTGTCGGTTCTCAACCTCTTTACCTTTCTGCCAGTTTGATTTTCGACAAGAGTCTTCCAACTTTTGAAATTCTCAAAAGTTTCATCCTTAGTCTTCTGGATGAATACCCATAACTTTCTGGAATAGTCATCTACTATGGATAGAAAATACTTTGCTCCTGAATGTGATGGACACCTTGCAGGCCCCCAAAGATCAGCATGGATGTAATCAAGGGATCCATGTGTTCTTTGTTTG